GAGAGAGAGAGAGATCATCGCCTTTAACAGATAGAGCTTAAAGTCTTGACCACACGTCGGCACGTTTCCCTTGGAGATCTCTCGCGCGAGGGACATTTATCCATGCTCCTCGCTTACCACACGCACGTCGTGTCGGCATCGTGCACCGATGCACATGAAAATCGCATGCCGTTCATCGCTCTCAAGCGAGCGGGCGTCGCGCCAGCGCGGTGCTGCAACGGGAATGCATCGCGGACACATATATACACACGTGCATGCGTGCTACGTGCGCGTTTACGTGGATGCACGGCCAGCGGCCGTGTGTGCTACAGATTACCACGCATCTTATCGCGTCGTGACGATCCTTACGTGTCGCGTCAACTGCCAGTAGGTTTTGTTTTGTCGAGAATCTTCCTTCTCTCGAGTGTCGTAAACTTACCTTCCAAAACTTACCTTCCTCAATTTTGTCTCAAAGAATTTCATTTGTAATTTACATATATTTGATATTTGTTCATTTCTACTTTATTGGAATGCAAATTGGTTTATTGCAAAATTTGAAACAGATTTAAAATAGTCACGTCGCATTAGCATCATTTGCTACAAATGAAATAATTTTGCTTGTAGGAAATTAATTAAGGTAATTACAGTATCCATCGATTGCGACGTCAAATACGATAGAGGATAAAATGCTTTCTTTAAAAATAGAATGAAAGATTAAAATTTAATTATCAAACACATATTATCCCGTAGCTGTATTGTTCGCGATACATTAACAATCACTTGGCATAGCTGTTTCAGCACAAGTTGACAACATGGAGGCAAAGGAGAGGATAAAGCCGTTGGTCAGAGACTTGAACCAACATATCGTATGTCCCTTGTGCAGAGGATACCTCATAGATGCTACGACTCTTGTGGAATGTCTGCACTCCTGTTAGTATTTTACTCAGTATGACTAGTATTCTTGACTAATCGTTGACTATTGAGCGATCATGCTTATAAAAAAAGTCCAATAGAAGTCCTTATTGAAAAATATAATATTCATATATTTTTAAGAAACAAATATGATACAGAAAAAATTTTTCCTCGAGATTTTTTAAGATCGATGCTTTTTTAAACGGCAGCGCAGAACTGATATATCAAAATGGATTTATTATGTATCACATTGCCCTTCAAACACACACGAATTATGTTTTCACGAATGTTATTTTTAAATTTGGAAAAGACGAAGGATCTCAATAATTCTCCTTCAATAATTAATTATTGTCTTAAATATCGCGGCGCGAGATAAAAATCACATTCGAATTGATCTAATTTTATATCTCGAGCGTGACCACTCTTTTTTACGTCGCGTCCGCGGATCGTCAGTTTGCAGAGGTTGCATCGTTCGACGTCTGAGCAGCGGCGCCCGCGCGTGCCCCGTGTGCAGCGTTACGGCGTCGCCGCCGCTTCTACCGGACACGCAACTTCAACGGCTGGTGTACCTCGTGGTGCCGGGTCTCTTCCGTTCAGAGCTCGAACGTAGACGTCACTTCCGTCTGGTGAATCCGCAATGTCCGCCGTTGGCACCGGCCGTTGGAGCTCTAAAAATCACCCTGGAGGATTTTGTCAGTCTGAGTTTACGAGAACTGGAGGATTCGGAAGAGGGAACGCCGAAGGAAAGATGCGATTTGACGAGGAACGAGGAGATGTCGGCGACGGATGAGAGTGATGATAGAAGCACGCGGTACCTCAAGTGCCCGGCTGCCGTGACGGTGCGTCATCTGGTGAGACTGTTGATGCTGAAAAGAGGATGGGAAGAAGCTAACGCGACTGTCAACGGTGTCAATAATAGGATAGAATTTATGTACCAACAAGAGGAGACGCAATGCCCGGATAAGGAAAGCATGCGACCGCTCGATCCCTCTTGGACGCTTCTAGATCTGGCTTGCATATTTCGATGGAAGAGGGTGAGTTTAATGGTGTGGCCTGACGTGTACAGCGACTGATCGATCGTGTTCCGTAGATGCTAAATACGACGAAGCGTCTACATTATATACAAGCATATATGGGTATTCGCGTCGAGTTGATTTAATCCAAATAGTTTTTTTCTTCCCTACAAATATAGGTGTGAAAGAGATTTTTTTTTACATACAACCTTTCATTGTTAAATATTTGAATTTTATTTTATCTGTAGTAGTATAATTAAGAATTTAAATCTGTCGAAAAGAGAAATATCTGTTGAAGTACGTGTGTAATTTACTATTAGTAAGTAAATTTAAGACTTATTGTTTAGAATATTTTATTCATCTTTATTAGAATGTTATCTTCTAAAGAATTAATGCGTTTCATATTATTGATGTCGCGTGTTTCGCGAAATTTCTTGCAAATAGAATAACTAATTTCGCTATGTAGCTGTATGTTCTCGTTTGCTATGATCGAGCACAAGCTGAACGGCAGTGCGCATGTTATGAAAAGCGGCGCGAAAAGGTGGCTCATCTGTTACAGGAGGCGCCAATGAAGCTGATGTACCGGGTGTTGCGAAGGGAAGAAGCGGTCTCGAAAGTTTCCTCGTATGAAGCCGACGAGATCAAGGATGTCTCGCCGGCGATTGAAAATATACAACGTCCACCGACTCCACCACCGAGTCCCAAACCCAGTTGCGAGCAGGAAGCTCGCAACGTGGAGCCACCGCGTGCTCTCGAAACGAATGTCGATATCCGCGACAAAGAGACGAAAACGAAAAAGCCACGTTGCGAAGTGACGCCCGTAATTCGTACTCCGGAACCCCCGTCGAACACCGAGCTGTCGACAAGAAATCATCAATTACCGGAGAGTGCGAAGAGCAAGGAACTGGAGCAAGGAAGACTGGAGCATCGGAAGCGACGCAAACGACGAAACAAGCGAGTGATCGCAGAGATTACTACTATGCCGCGCGAGGACCTCTTGAAGCTGAAGGTACGTCTGACCCCATGTCCTCCGAGGATCACCTCCGGAACAACAGGCAGTGCTGGAACTGGGAGTCAAGGAGGGAGCGGATGTGTCGGGACAAATAGTCAAACAAAGGAGAAACTGTTACAGATGCGGGCGGTTAGACGCGACAAAATCAAGACGATCGTTCAGCAACGATCGAGTTCGTTGATTCGGGAAGATTCCAAGACTAAGGAATGCATCGCGGGAGAGGCAGAAGAAACGATCGAAGATATCATTGACAGCATTCCCGACGAGGTTGTGCGCATCGCGCAAAATATCAGTCAAAACGAGGAAACCAAGTCCAAAGAATGCACTGCGTCAGAGAAAATGACTAACAAGAAGGTGATAGAACCGACGAACACATCGGAAAACGGTAACGAATCGGAAAGACCGAAGAAGGACGAGGAGATTCTGCGGCGACTGGGTTTGGTAGCTATTCACGAAGCTGGTGGTGACAAAACAGCAAAGCAACGCTCGCAAAGTGGTACCGACAACGCTAACAGTCTGGATCGCGAGAAACTGGAGAAGAAATTGCGCGAGAGCAAGGCGAATCGCGTGCGGAGCTTGTTGGCGGAGAAACAGATGCGCGACGCGCTCAAGAGCATTATGTCCACGAAAGAAGATTTATCCGTTATTAAAACGCCAGTCTCCGTTTTTACTTCTGCCGCCGTGTCCGTGCCTGCCACGCCAAAGAAGAAGGAACCGCCGCCGTTGACGCCTTTGCGTGTTGCGAAACCTTCCGGTTTCGCTACGACCAGCGTGATAGTGTCGAACATCAGTTCCAAGTATGAGACACCGCTGGACCTCAGCAGCGGCGGCGGTGGCGGCGGTGGCGGCGGTGGCGGCGGTGGCGGCGGTGGCAGCACTATCGTCAACGACAACGTCCTCGACTTGTCCGCTACGTTATCCAACAGTGGCGGCGGGTTACCATCTTCCCCTTTCTCTTCGTCCTCTTCTTCATCATCCTCTTCCTCTTCCTCATCTTCCTCCTCCTCCTCGTCGTCCTCTTCCTCCTCCTCCTCGCCCTCGCCTTGTTCGATGTCGTCTTTACTGTCGTCAAGATTGCCAACGCGATCCACGATTGGTACCGCCAACAGCTTTTTCCGCAAGTCCAAAGAACTGGAGCAACAGCGCGGCAAGGGACAACAGCAAGAGTCAAACCTGAGGACACTCTCGGACGTTGCAGTGTCACGCCTGAGCGGTTGCCTGGTCGAAAAGAATACGGCGGCAGAATCGCTCGCATTAGCATCCGCGAGCGTAAATGCTGCCACTGGTAAGGTCGCCTTGCGCATACCGCAACCCCATCATCGCATTTCTGGTTTCGGCATGAAAATCAAGCCCAATCTCGGCATCCGACACATCCCAAATCCTCAAGCTGTCGTGGTGTCCCAATATCGTAATCAAAGGGCCAGTTACTTCAACGCTGTCTCTCAGCAGCCGCCATAAACGCATGTCTTTTATCGTCGTTATAATTTATCTCTTCTCTCCTGCCTCTCCTTCTTTTTTATTTACTATTTCTTTGCGAATCATTCGGTTAAATCAAGAAACGAAGCGCCGTATAGAA